CCCTATACACTTGACATTGACGAGCAAGCAAATGTTGGCGGGAATCTGAATGTTTTCATACTTTATCGTCCATCTCTTTTAATTGAAAACGTCAATTGGTCTTACACCCAGGAATACAACAAGTTTTAGGCATATGATGGAGAAAAATTATTATGAAGCTTACCCTTTACCAAATCGAAAGTTCAAAGTAGACAAAGTACATCCTATTTTTTTAAATAATAATAGGTAAATACACGGTTTTCATCAACACTAAAGTAATTGGGGATAGTGGAAATATAAGATTGCCCGAGAAAAATCAAGGAAAAACAGAGGTAAATAAGCCGGCTTCCGAACATTACATCGACAATTAGATAACAGCACATTAATTTCAGGGCCGGATTAAGGGGGGGGGGGGGGGCTTTGGGGGCTAAAGCCCGCCCGGGCCCCGAAATAAGGGGGGCCCCAAAACACCACCCCACACGGGGAAGAAAACATGCATATAATTTACACCAAACAAAACCGTCGTTTTTAAAATTCGAAGCCCACACACTTCAGGTTTGTTGACATTTCGAACATAAACTCAGGTGAAGCCAGATATTTGCATCGGTTTTTTATGCCAGCAAAAACGATAATTTTTCGCACCACATTTCAGTTTTGTGTCGTTTTGCTAGATCAGATTTACACCTACAACAGAAATGTTCAACAAAAACGCAGTATGTGGGCCCCTTTACAATTTGAGAGCGTTAACCACCAGTAATTCTGTAATCATAACTTTTTGGCGTTAATATGCATAATATCAAAAATATTTATACGAGAAAGTTGTAGAGAACTACTATATCTAGCTGATTACATGGCAATAATTTTTATTTGCCAATTTTTTAATTTTTATTTTGATTTAAAAAACAAATTTTAGAAATGTTACTATCGAGGGGAAAACCACCTACCTAATTTTGTACACCAAAAATTCTAAAATCCTGAAAAATGCTAATTTTCATGTTATTATTGTCCCAAAAAATTCTAAAAATTCTAAAAAATTCTAGAAAATTCTAAAAAATCCCAACAAATTGGGCAGACTTTTGAGCATGCGCAATAGATTAGATAAAAATTCTAAATTATTTCTAAAAAATTCTAGTTGAATTCTAAAAAATACTGAATAATTCTAGAAATTGCTAAAAAATACTAAAAAATGCAAAAAAAAATACTGATAATTCTGAAAAATTCTAAAAATTCTATCAGTTTGTACAGGGCGATCTATTATAAATGTCGACCCTGCTAACTTTATCATTTGACGTTTTTGACAGAAGTATCAACTGTCAAATACAAAAGTTTTAAGAAATTATCAATTTTTTTTAACTAAGTTAGTTTTAGGCATACAGGATGCGTCAAAAAAGTGCAGCAATGTGAAGTTATATATTTTTAAATGGAACACCCTGTATATTGTGCGCTTATTTGTTAGTCCCCTTACCAGTTCCAGCACCATACCAGATAATATGATTTCAACGATATACGATTTGATATGTTTATCTCTCTGTTTATCTTCAATAGTTATAGGGAAAAACCACTGATCTCAAAAATAAATGGATAAACAAAGAACGCTCCCACATAACAGTGAAAGAACATTCATATTCTCAGAATATTCCTTCAAAGTGCTTTTTGGAATATTCTTTTAGGAATGTTCAATGAATATTCCAAGATTGTTTCGATTGAAATATTCGTTTCTGAACGTTCTATTTATGTACTAGGAATGTTGCTTCTATGCACCTACCTGAAAGATTGTGCTAAGAACCTACTTTATATAACATTATTTGAATATTCTCATACGAACATTATTATAATGTACCCTAAAAAATGGTCCTTCGGCTAATATCTCTATCAAGTATTAAGAATATACCTACCAAGTTGTACTGAGAAGTTTATGTAGGTAGGTACCCATGATAAGAATATTTCCATATTGTTCACCTAATTATCTAAAGTACCTACTCAAAAACTTAATTGAACAATTAAACAATAATGCTCTATCTAGAACCTACTAAGAATATTATAGGTATATTCTTTTTCATTTGCTTTGTAGGACTTCCAAGAGAGGGAGTCACGCGCTATAAAGATCTACATCTTACCTCGAGTTTGAATCACCTTGGAACTTGTTTCTCTTAGTTGGCGTGCTTCGAGAGAGCATAACAATCTCGAAACCGGAGCTTTGGTTAAACACTTGTGTTTTCCAGAGAAATTTTCCAACAATTCTTTCACTGCCTTTGATATAAAAGGACTGGAAGGAGCATTATTTGGAAAAGAAAATTCACATTCCAAGTATATCCTTAGAATCAAACAAGAATGTTATGTCTAGGATGCATATTGAGAATGATATATGTAGATATATTCTAAAAATATTTCAAGTAGGTATATTGGCATAATATTCTTTAGAGAACATAACTATAGTGTCATAGAAACATTCTTTGTATATGAGAATATACATTTCGAGCATATTTTTAGAATCAAACAGGAATATTCTTTTGAGGATGTACTGAGAATCTCATAGGTATATTCTAGGAATATCCTAATGGATTTCCCAGGAAGTTCTTGGGTATCGCAAATAGTATTTCTACAATCTTTTCTCAGAACATTCTCAGGACATTCGCAATGGTTTTGGCGAACATTCTAAGCACATTCCTCCTAAAAAAAGAACATTCTTAGTACATTCTAAGGATGCAATTTTGTTATGTGGGCTTCTAATGCTGCTAATTTACGAGGTCAAAATCTAAACAAAAACAACTGACTGGGACAGCTGTGAGCGTGCGCAGTAGATACATGTATTGTGCGTGCACAAAATCTGGCCAATAAAAATGAAGGAATTTCAAAATTTAGAACAGTTGTTCGAAAGATATAAGACACTGCGCAGGCGTTAGGCTCTTCCGTTGCACAACTGTTCGTAGAATATTGACCCCAAATTTTCGCACAAATTTTGCCAATCGAACCGTATGAATTGTTTATCCATTTATTTTTTAGATCAGTGGAAAAAACGCGAAAATCCCTTGCTAGTTCTCTCATGTTATTTTTTCAAAAATAATAATAATAACTGGATTTATTATAATATAATATTTCACCTTGTATATTAATGAATAAAATTTGAACAATAACCTGTTCATAAAAAAAATTCTCTAAAAAAAAATGGTATAATTTTTCTTTTTTCAATATGAAACCTTGAAAGGAGTTTTCATGTTTTTCCTTTTAAATATCGAAGATAGACATCAAATCGTATATCGTTGAAATCATGTTAAAAGGGACTAACAAATATGCGCACAATATGCAGAGTGTTCCATTTAAAAAAATTTAACTTCATACTGCTACACTTTTTTGACACACCCTGTATGTCTAAAACTTACTTATGGCGTTTCCGATTGGTAGATCTAGTGCGGAACTAGTGCTTTTTTTTCTATTTCTGTCTTTTTCTTCTACAGATCGATTAAAAGGATGCAAATACACTCAATGCGCACTGAATCTACCAATCGGAAACGCCATTAGTTAAAAACTTTCGACAATTTATTGAAACTTTTGTATTTGACACTTTTGTCAAAAATGTCAAATAAAAAAGTTAGAAGGGGGTGACATTTATAATAGATCACCCTGTAAACCAAAATTCTAAGAAGGTTTCCCGCTCGGGGGAACCCTCCTACCTAATTTTTTACACCAAAAATAATTCTAAAATTCTGAAAAATGCTAATTCTCGAAAAATTCAAAAAAATGTCCAAAAATCCCAACAGATTGCGCAGTGCGCAGGCTCTTGAGCATGCGTATTAGGTGAAAATTCTAAATTATTTCTAAAAAATTCTAATTCAATTCTAAACAATACTAAAAAATTCTAAATAATTCTAGAAAATGTTAGAAAATACTAAGAAATGCTAAAAATATTGATAATTCTAAAAAATTCTAAGAAATTCTAAAAAATTCTATCAGTTTGTACACCAAAATTCTAAGGTGGTTTCCCCCTCGGTTACTACCTAAGTAGGGTGATAGTGGTGGATAATTCAGAAATATTTATTCAAGAAAAAAAAATTCCAAATCAAACAGTTTGTCCAAAATTACATTTTTTTTTAATCTGCAAGGTAAAATTTTGAGTGACGTTTGAATTTATTTCAGGGACCTAGGGGCCCCTTATGTGAAAATAGCCCCGGGCCCCAAAAGACCTTAATCCGACCCTGATTAATTTTCAATTCAGTGCAGAACGCTTTCGGCCTAGGCTATCGTCAGTGCAACCTGAAAATAAAAGAAAAACTTCTAATTTGTTGGAAAAATGAAGTGGAACAAGAGAATTTTTAGATTAACTTTAAATTACACTATAGAGAACTAAAGAATGAGCGGTTTGCGCCTGCGGAATTATTTTTTAAATTCGGTAAACCGCTTATAGATATCTTTTTTAAATTCCAAGTAATTTATTTCAATTATTGACACTTCTGCCTGGAATATTTTCATTATGAAGAACTTTCATATTTCTTTTAAAATTAGTTTAAAAATTAAATTTGACAACAAACGTATTATCTATCCACAATCTGATGTCCAGAGGTAAAGGTAAAATTTGATAGGGAAAGGTGATAAATTTACCTCTACCTTCGGACTACGGATTGTGAATAGGATATAGGTATAAAATCGTTAATAAGAAATGGAAAATAAAATTCAAAAATTTCAATAGACAAAAATTATTGTTTTAATTATTGAAATATATATTTAACACATAAATCGACAATAAACCAAATACATAAAACATTATTTAAAAAAAAACCACGCCTTAAATATAAATATAGTAGGTATATAAAAAAAGTAAACTATTGTTTAAATAAGAGAGAAAAACATTATTTAAATAAATTATAAAGGTTTTTTTTTTTTTAAATAAGTACCAATAATATTGCTTTGAAAAAATATACAGGGTGAGTTCTTTTTAAACGGATAAAAACATTCAAATGGAACTCAAGTTTTAAATAGGTAACTTTGTAATGTTTTTATGATTTATTTTTAAAAATTGTGAATTTTGTAGAGAATTTATTTGGCTTTAATTTGAGTCTAATTGCGTTAAACGTTAAAATCTAATTAAAATTAACAAAGTTATGGGACAAAATGTAGATAGATGTGTAATTTATGGAAAAACAAGGTGATTTAATAAAGTGATCATTCCAAAATGTATGCAATTTTTTAAAACTCACAATGTATATTATATTATACTTACTTATAAATAGTGAAACAATAAAAACAGGAAATAAATTTCAAATTCTGCACAGCCTTGAATTTTTTCTTTGTTTTAGATCTTTAATGCCTGTATTACATCTGTGTATTTTTCCGTGTATTTATTCATGTAGTTCAGGGTGCCAACATTATTTTGTTTTTCATAATGCTGATTTATGTTGAGTTTGAAGTTTTTCGGTTGTCACCCTGAACTACATGAATAAATACACGGAAAAATACATAGATGTAATACGGGCAATACGCTATGTTTCAAAAATTATTCCAAGTATTCTTTACATTTAACTTAATCCTTTAACAAAAGGCCTAGAGAAATATAGCTACTAAAAACAAGTTGTATAAATTAAGTCCAAACTAGGTGTAAATACAACAATATCCCTCAGATTCTTATTATAGTCAAAAGGTAATCAATCATCAGTCTGCCTTTTGAAATACCAACTTAAATTCGAATTTCTCCTGAATTTATTTTTTCGTAAATCTCTTGAGTCACTGGTTCGTATTGTCCTTTCGCTGTCAAATAATAAATACTGTCACTAGTCCTTGAAGGATCAAAACCTTGATTTTGAAGATCGTTTTTCTTCATTTTGTAAGTACCTATTGAAACAATTATTATTTACTCATTTTTGAATTGAATTGGACAAAATTTTTACCAGTCAAATCCAATTTGGTCAATATCCGTATGAAAATCGGCCTGGCATAGACTGGCAAAGCCTCACAAAGGCCTTTGTAGAGTTTATCCAGACTGACTTCCCTTTGGGGATCGTAGAGAGCTGCCATTCCGGCTCTGCCTTCCATGTTTCGGATTTCTACGCCATAAACGACCACATCTTTGTAGTCTACAATGTTGCTCAAGACGCCTTCAATCTGAAATAGTTAATTTATCATTGGAAAACTATATCAAAAATCCGCCATTTTGTTATTAGTATTTGGGTATGTCGATAAGCGCAACTAGGCTCCAAATTTGAAGGATGCTGTAGCACCATTTTTATTTATTTATTTTTTGATGGGGATTGATGGAAAGCAAATGGGAAAAAAAGTTAGTTTCACGAGGGTTTGTACTTACGTCATCATTTGCCTTTTTTTTTTGAAAAATAGGTTTTTTTATGTCTGAAATTTCAAGCAAACATATAGTTCGTTGCACGGCACGAAGATTTTTACTTACGTCATCGATGACGTCATAACTTAGAGAAAAAGTTAAGTCATAGAATAATTCATAGAGCACTTTCGGAATTATTGTTTCGTAATACATTTTTTAACTTAAAATAGAGTTTATTCAGTTATCCGCAAATATATAAATAAATTTCTCCTGGAGTGTTTTTCACTGGAAAACTTTGAAATTTTCCTCTAATGAGTTCCTCACTTTTCTCTTTCTCCTGTAAAAATTTCAAAATTTTCCCGTAGCCAGTTTTCTAGGAAAAAATTACAATAAAAGAAGATGAATTTTGCCTAATAATAAGTCAATTTTCTTTGAATTTTTCCTAGAGTGATTTTTCACTGGAAAATTTCAAAATTTCCCTATAATGAGCTCCTCACTTTTCTCTTTTTCCTGGAAAATGTTCAAAATTTTTCTTTTGCCGGTTTTCCAAAAAAAAAATTAAATGTGAAAGGGTGAATTTTCCTTAGTTTTGCTTAAATAACAAAATTTTCCAGAATTTTTTCTAGAGTCATTTTTCACTAGAAAATTTTGAAATTTTCTTACATTGAGTTCCTCACTTTTCTCTTTCTCCTGGAAAAATTCCACAATTTTTGCTTTGCCAGTTTTCCAGAAAAAAAATTGAAATGTGAAAGGATTAATTTTGCTTAAAAAGTCAATTTTCCAGAACTTTCCTCTCGACTTTCCTTAGAGTGATTTTTCACTAGAAAATTTTGAAATTTTCCTATAATGAGCTCCTCATTTTCTTCTTTCTCCAGGAAAAATTTCACAACTTTTGCTCTATTAGTTTTCCAGAAGTAAATTGAAATGTGTGAAGATGAGTTTTTCTTAATTTTACTTAAAAAAGTCATTTTTTCAAAATTTTTCCTAGAACGATTTTCCATTTGAAAATTTTGAAATTTTCTTATATTGAACTCCTGACTTAATTTCCTCTTTTTCCTCTTTTGCCAGTTTTCCAGAAAAAAATTGAAATACAAGAGGATGAATTTTCCTTAATTTTACTTGAAAAAATTAATTTTCCAGAATTTTCCCTGAAGTGATTTCTCACTGGAAAATTTCGAAATTTCCCTATAATGAGCTCCTCACTTTCCTCTCTTTCTTGGAAAATTTTCCCTCTGCCAGTTTTTACAGAAAAAAATTAAAATGTAAGAGGGTGAATTTCCTTAATTTTGCTTAAATAAATCAATTTTCCAGAATTTTTTATGGAGTGATTTTTCATTTGAAAATTTTAAAGTTTTGCTATAATGAGCTCTTTATTTTCCTCTTTTTTTTGGGAAATTTTCACAATTTTCCTTTCGGCAGTATCTGTTTATGTTCAACTTGATACTGGTTCAATTGATTTTGTTCTGGATGGATTGGAAGAGAAATAATGATAGGACGACTTGAATGGACTTAAATTGAGGAATAGAATTTTTTAAATTGTGACAAATTTTTATTACTTTCTGACAAATCTATATTGATTGATATATGCCACCAACCTGCAGGTAGTGGCCAAAGCATTCTATAAGTACAATATTAAAAATTACTCCCCCTTTTGGAGGGTACCTTCAAACATGTGAAAATTAATAATGAGAACAAAAAATAAAACAGTATAAATAGTCTTTAAAACATATTTTCAATGTTTCGTTTCATCCTGAAGAGGAAGTGGACATAAATGACGAATTGATCTTGTAACATTTCCATTTTGTGTAAGGACCTCAGTTACTCTAGTTACACCATCTTTGCCTGGAAATTGACGTACTATACGACCAAGTGGCCATTTCAGTGGAGGTTGTTTATCATTTTTCAGCAAAACTAAAGTTCCGTCATGGATTTCGGTAGGCGCGTCTTTCCATTTATATTGTGTGTGAAACTGGGAAATGTAGTGTTTTGAGAATTGAGACCAAAATTGTTGAAATAATTTTTGAACATGTTGCAGCCGTGATAATCGATTAAATTGTATTTCTTTCAAATTGCATTCTGAAGGATGGTTTAGTTGGCGACCGATAAGAAAATGTGAAGGGGTTAAAGGCACTAAATCATTAGGATCGGTTGACATGGCGAATAATGGTCTTGAATTTAAAATTCCTTCTACTTGAATCACTAACGTATTGAATTCTTCAAATGTTAAATTATTTTTGATAACTCGTTTCAAATGATGCTTAGCACTTTTGACAGCCGCTTCCCAAAGGCCACCAAAATTAGGGGCATAAGGTGGTATGAAAACCCAACGAATTTTATCGATACTAGTTCGATCCACAATAGAGTTTTGATTTTTATATAGAAAATTTCCAAAATCTTTTAACTCACTATTTGCTCCAACGAATGTACTGCCGTTATCAGAGTAAATAGTTGAAGGCATCAAACCTCTTCTCGAAGTGAATCTTTTTAAACACGCTAAGAAACATTCTGTCGTTAAATTAGAAACCACTTCTAAATGAATTGATTTTGTACAAAAACATACAAAGACTGCTAAATAACATTTAATTGGCCTCGCACCTCTACCGGCTTTATTTAGAATAAAAAATGGACCAGCATAATCCAGGCCAATGAAGGCTTTATTCGAATATCTGGCAAACTAGACATAGGCGAAGTTAATGAAGTAGGCTTGAATCTAAAGCAGGTCATGCAATTTTTTACAGTTTTTCTTGCCAAATTGCGACCTCCAATAGTCTAATAAAATTGTCTGATAGAGGCTAGTAATAATTGACGACCTGGATGTAACAAATATAAATGCTTATTTCGAAAAATTAACTTCGTAAATGAATGTTTCGAAGAAAGTAAAATTGGGTGCTTAGTATCATAAGGTAAATAAGTATTTTTCAGACGACCACCCACACGTATAATACCTTGACTATCAATAAATGGAGTAAGGGATGAAAGCTTAATATGATTTTTTTCTAAAGTTTTATTTTTTGATAATAATTTTAGTTCTGTTACAAATGATTCAGCTTGAGCTAAACGTATTAAAACTTGGTTTGCTGATTCTAATTCATTAACAGTAATTGGACCAGTTTGTAATAGATTTTTAAAATTGCTTCTCTTATTTTTTAAGTTTTTATAAAATCGAATACAAAGAGCTGTAATGCGTCTTAATTTATGTAAATCAGAGAATCTGTCGAATAATTCACAACATGAAACAGTAATACTTTGTAAAATAGTGTTAGTTTTTTTCAAATCTGACAATTGATTTTGAGGAAGATAGTAATCGTGAATCGGCCAATGGGAAATGGGACTTTTAAGAAATGAAGGACCTGTCCACCAGAGAGTTGAATGGATTAATTTCTCTGAATTTATACCACGGGAAGCTAGATCGGCAGGATTGTGTTTGGTATTCACATATTTCCAGTCATTTATATTTGTCAATGATTGGATTTTAGCAACTCTATTTGAAACAAATACTTGCAAAACACTCGGTTCTGATTTGATCCAACTTAATGATATTTGCGAATCTGACCACATAAAAATAGGAATAGAATTTGGAATATTTAAAGAATTTTTAACTACTTCCGTTAATTGAGCTCCAAGCAAACTAGCACATAATTCAAGCTTGGGAATGGTGAGACTTTTCAAAGGTGCAACCTTACTTTTTGCACATAATAGATGAACTTCAAAATTCCCATAATTGTCTGCACTTCTCAAATAGACAACAGCTGCATATGCATCTTGTGATGCATCACAAAAACAGTGAATGTCAATCAAACTAAAATTTCTTGGAATAGTATTTCGTGTGATATTGATGGAATTGAAAATCTTTAAATTATTTTGAAATTGATGAAAAGACCTTTCTAGATCTGAAGGAATAGGGCTGTCGCAGGAAATTTTCAATGACCATAAACGCTGAATAATAATTTTTGAAATAACAATAGTAGGACTTAGAAGACCTAATGGGTCATAGATTTGTGCAATGGTAGATAATATAATTCGCTTAGTTATTGGGATTTTGATGGAAGAAACTTCTTTAATTTCATAGGATAAATTATCCGAAATTGGAATCCACTGAATACCCAATGTTTTGAAGCCCTCCTTTGGCCCAAAATTTAAAATTGAATTAGGAATATTATGATCATTTAAATTTGAAATGACCCTATTATCATTGGAGACCCATTTTCTCAAAATAAATTGCGCTGATTTTAGAATAGAAAATATTTGATGGCATTTTAAATTCAATTCCGAAAGAGAATTGGACCCTGACAAAAGATCATCTACGTAGAAGTCCTCTAAAATAGTTTTACATGCCTCTGGAAATTGCTCATAATTTAAAATTGCTAGTTGCTTCAAACATTTTATAGCTAAATAAGGTGCGGAACTGGTGCCGTAAGTAACAGTGTTCAATTGGTAAATGGAGAAATTTTCATTAGAGTCTTCACGCCAAAGAATTTGTTGAAGTGGTCTGTGATCAGGGTGCATTAGAATACAGCGATACATTTTCGCTATATCAGCTGACACAACGTAAACATAAGTCCTGAAACGCAATAAAATACTAACAATGTCATTCTGTACCTTTGGCCCTATATGCTGAAGATCATTGAGGGACCATCCTGTAGAAGAAGAACAACTACCATCAAAAACAACTCTCAATTTGGTAGTCAGACTATCGTCTTTTGAAACTCCATGGTGAGGCAAAAAATAAGAAATAGAATTTGGAATAATTGAATCTTCAGATACCTTGGACATGTGTCCTAGAGACTCATATTCATGAATAAAATCAAAATATGATTTTTTAAACTCA